AACCTTCATTTTAAAGCAACAACGCACCTAGGACCAAATGAAAGTATCATGGCACACTTAGCGGCATTTTTAAAAGGATATCGGAAACTGCAACAAAACTAATTCATAATTCAACATAACTTTATAAAAACTTTGAATTAAACAAAGACTGTTGAATACAATTATATGAAAAAAGAGTTTGGTTTGGTTTGTTTTACGGCATGTCAACCTCAATGGGTTATTTAATGCCGACAAAATTTTTATTTCTGGTAATATTTGTTCTTCAAAAATGTATAGCTGGTAATACCTTTTTTCAAAAATATATTGCTGGTAATAATTTTTTTTTTCACAAAGTATTTCTGTTATTAAAACCTATTTTTACACTTATATAGTGTTTTAACCCCAGTTTTGTGGCTAACTATTTTACCCATAGTTGGGACCCTAACAGGCGCTACCACCCGGGGTCAGGGTAAACCTGGAATCACCAGCAATTAAGAGATGGTTTCAAGCTCCTCAAAACCTCCTGATCAGAGTGCTTGCTGCTGGACATAGTTTATCGTCTTACCCAGAACGCGGATGTAGTTTATCGTCATATCAAGGACGGAAATGAAAAAAAAAAAAAAAAAAAAAAAAGGTTAATATTCATTTATTCAAATAAGGGAAAGTTTTAAAAAGTCAAATTTAAAATATGAAAATACTTTTTAAAAAATGAATATTAAAATGAAGTATTTAAAATAACATAATCGAAAAATAGTGAAAAGATTTATTTGAAAAAAAGTTTAATACTTATTCATTTATTCAAATACTAATCCTGTACCATTACTACTTCCACATATCTATCTATCTATCTATCTATATATATATATATATATATATATATATATAAAAAAACAATATTTGGCGGCACACTTATAGGATCGCGCGGCACATTAATGTATCGCGGCACGACGGTTAAGAATCCCTTCATTAGTCAATACGTGATGTCAGAAACCTGTATATACCTTTCATTACATTTAATTACAATTCACCCTTTTCGTTCGTGTATTTTCCCAAGGCAACAACTAAATTTAACTTAGGATGAAAGTCAAGATCTGCCAATCCCCAAGTGAGGATCAAACGCATTGCATTAGGGTGCAATTCGCGAGAATTTGTTTGCTAAGCACTGTTAAAAAAATGAAAGTAAAATAAACAGTGTGAATTTTGAGAAAGAGTGAAATGGCGAAAGTATTTTAAAAAATAGACAGAGTGAAAAAAAAAAAAACAAAAAGCGGGGTGAACGCGTTTTAAGCTTTGTAAAGACAGGAAGGGGGGGAATAATAGAAAAAAAAGAGTGAATATGGGGTGGTTTTTGGAGGTAAGACGATATTAAATGTACCCGCCTTTACATAATCCACGCACCCTCTTGACATGCAATTAGCCTCGTTCTCATGTATCACGTGATGTGTTTATTCAGATGTGTTTGGCTCTTCGAATAGAAGTAATTTCCCTATTGTCTCAGCTTTCCAAGTTTCGTTCCAAGACAAAAAATAAATAGAAGCCGTTTTTCGCCCCCCCCACCATACTACAGCCTTGGCACTTACTGTTCCCGCCATCTGTAGATGTCCAAATATTTTTAAAAAAAAGTGGTAGTCGGGTGAAAAGCGAGAAAAATAATGAACGAAAACAGAAAAAAAAGAAAGAAAAAGAAAGGCTGTGAATTTTAAATAAAAGAAGAGAAATAAACAATGGATATAGGAAAGAGAAATAAACAATGAATAGAAGAAAGAGAAAGAAAGAATGAATAGAGAAAAGAGGAAGAGAATGAATAGAGGAAAGAAAAGGAAAGAATGAATATAAGAAAGAGAAAGAAAGAATAATAGATGACAGCATGAGAGAAAGCGTTGAAGAAAGAGAAAAAGAAAGAAAAAATATGAAGAAGAAAGTAAAAGCTCAACAAGAGAAAAATAATTTCTGTAGCACATTTTTGCAATTTAAAATTAAAAAAAAAATCTCCATATATACAAGTGAATGACTCATAAATTCAAGCTGTAAAATTTTACATGTCGACCAGTACACGGATGATTCTTTCGTCGGGTTCAAATCCGTGTACGCTAAGAAAGGTAAAGAAAAACTTTTAGCGTCTGAGATGGAAAACATTCAGTAATTACTGCTAGAAAGATTATTTTGTTAATATACTAAATTTCACTCAATACAGAGCTTGAGAGCCACTCAAGGAAGATTAGAATCAAAATAGTAATAATGCTGTATTTGATATGAATTAAATTTGGTATGGTGGTAAAGATGATAGATGGCGATTGATCCTTGACTTGAAGAGGCCATGATTGAAATGTTCAGGGAAGTATGCAGCAGTTCTTGGGGGACAAAAAAACCTGAGTAGAAATGTGGGTGATTCGGCTCTGTGGAAGTAGCAATACATGTCTTAGCTGTAAAGGTCTGAACTAGTGAAATGAAAGAATAAAGCTAACCTGAAAATTTGCTATTGAAATAGCGATACTGTAGAGACAGGCTTACAGCGTTACGTTCCGTGGAGAAGGAGTTGGAGAGTGTCAGATTCTATAAAACGGCGCTACAAGATCACAAACAAAGAATTACATCAAATAGCGAAAACCATATCACGTGAAGACTTCCAACAGTAGTAACAACTAAATTGGATATTACATAGAACTAAGATGATGTAATCACGATATTGACTTTTCACTTATCCTTAAGCAAGATTTTAAGAAAGAGCGATAACAGATTACTTGAGAAGTCTATTTTATAGAAAATCCAAAGAATCAATAATATTGTCTGTCCTGACAATGGCGTTACGGCTTCAGTGACTTTCGTACCGCCGTAAAGTTGCTTCCCAATACCTTTTCCATAAATACTTTCATGGTAATTGTTTGAATGATACTTTGCTATGATACGTAGACTTTATGAATTTAAGCGCAGTACTAGGCTGGCAATAAGGTCTCATTATTTTACAGTTGAGTTGGTAAGATGTAACTGTAAGTTCTATGCTGACATTTTTTTTTCTCGCACTTCTCGCTTGCAGAAATTTCTTTCAACGCCCTGCATTCCAGTCAAATTTGATCATCAAATATTTAAATGCAATGCCAATCGTTATATACTGTCTTCTTGATTACTCTTCTTTTATTGTTTTCGCTCCTTAATAATGTTTCTGTTTTCTAATTTGCTCACACCCAGTAATCATTTGTGTTCTTGGAGTTTTACTGTCTTACCTTGAGTCCTTGTTGTTTTACTGTCTTACCTTGAGTCCTTGTTGTTTTACTGTCTTAACTTGAGTCCTAGCAGTTTTACTACCTTACCTTGTTTCCTAGTGTTTTTACTGCCTTACCTTGTGTCCTAGTGGTTTTACTGCCTTACCTTGTGTCCTGGTGGTTTTACTGCCTTACCTTGTTTCCTGGTGGTTTTACTGCCTTACCTTGTGACGTTTTGGTTTTACTGCCTTACCTTGTATCCTAGTGGTTTTACTGCCTTACCTTGTGTCCTAGTGGTTTTATTGTCTTACATTGTGACCTTTTGGTTTTACTTTCTTACCTTGTGTCATAGTGGTTTTATTGTCTTACATTGTATTCTTTGGATTTTACTGTTTTACTTTGCTTGGAGTAAATTCAATAAAAAGGAAAAACTGTTATAAAATTTTATAAATTTCAGCGGACAGGAACGCTAACTATTCGAATGTCGAATGTTTTCTTATGAAGAAATAGTTATTCTCACCATTGCCATTACCATTAGGGCAGACCCCACTACCTCTTCCTGGTTAGTCAAATGTATATGGATTTATTACATGAATTTTTGGTTCGGTCGGTTTGAAAAACTGGAGTCAACCTATACATGAAAGATGCCATACATTAGTGCTTTCTTGGCCCTCCCCGCAAAAAAGTAAAAAAAAAAAAAAATAGAATAATGAAATAGAATAAAAATAAGGAAAAGAGAGGAAGTCGAAAAGAAAACTGAAAGAAAGAAATCAAAATGAAAGCAGATGAATAAGAATAATAAAGATATGTTGGAATTAATAAGAAAAAAAGAAAATGAACAGTATAGGAAGAGGGAATAATGAAAAAAGAAGAACAAAGAAAGAGAAAACAAAAAAGAAAGACAAAAAAAAGAAATAACAAAAAAGAAACTAAGGAGAAAAGTCATGAAAGAAAAAAAAAACCCGAAAGAAAAGATGGAGGACGAAAGGAAAATGTGAAATACGAAGAAAGAATAATGAAAGAAAAGCAAAGAAACACAGAAGGAGTCAAAAATGTGAAACAGTCGGGAAAAAAGAAATTTAGAAAGAAGAAAATATTAAAGAAAGAAATAAAAGAAGATGGAAACAAGGAAGAGAAAAAGAAAGGTTAAAAAAGAAAGAAAGCGAAAGAAGAAAGAAAAAAGAAAAGGATAAAGCGAAAAAGACAAGAATGAGATAAAGATAGGTTAAAGAAGAAACGAAGCCAAGAAAGAGAGAGAAAAAAAGGGAAAGACAAAGGTGGAAAAGCCAAGAAACATAATAAAATGAAAAGTAAGGAGAAAGAGAAAGACAGTAAAGGAAATAAAGAAAAAGAAATAAAGAAAAGAAAATAAGAAATAAAAAGTTTACGAGAGAGAAAATCCATCCATTTTACTTACTTTTATGTTACTTAGATAGCACATTCTTGCTGCTTTTCTCTTTCTTTCTTTCTTTCTTTCTTGCTTTCTTTCTTTCTTGCTTTCTTTCTTTCTTGCTTTCTCCCTCCCCATATCTCTCCCTCTTCTTGTTGATCTTGCTCTTGTTTGCGCAATCTTAGAAGAATCGGTTCTGAACCCAGTCAAGATCTTCAACATTTTTGTAAGGAATTCAAAATAATAAAAAAAGAAACTTGTTATTGTTCGTGCGGAATTTCTTTGAACAAGTCTGTCGGGTTACGAAACGGGACGAGATCTCCTGCCCCGACCTCGTTCCCTCTTCCTTCAGCGGCCAAGCGTTGCACCCTGAGGTTTGGCGAATTTACACCCTCACAACAATAGCCTTTTTGGGTGTGGGCAGTGAAGGAATGTCTTTCTTTCTTTCTTTCTTTCTTTCTTTCTTTCTTTCTTTCTTATGCTCATTCCTTTTCTTTTTACCCGTATTTCTTGTACTCTTCTTTCTCTCTGAATGTATTAGTTTATATATCTTTCTTCCCTTTTTCTCTTATACGATTTTCTTTTTAAAAACAATATTCTTCTTTACTGTAGTTTTTATACATCTTTCTATCTTGGTGTAATCATCTTATTTGCACTGATCGCTCTTCATTCCTTGTTTTATTCCCGCAATTCTTTCTTTCTTTCTTTCTTTCGTAAGCTCTTTCTAATACACAGCCTGTAACGTATTTTTCTTTTTTCGTTCTTTTTCTTTTACATATCTTATATTATTTTTCTTTCATTTCCTTATATTTCCTTTTTTTTTATTGTACGATAGTTTCTATCGTTCTTTCTTTCTTTCTTTCTTTCTTTCTTTTAGGCGTATTTCTTGAAAATCTGTTTCTTTCTTTTACACATCTTTCTTGTATTCTTTCTTTTTCTTTCTTTTCCATATACACCTCTTTCTCGATAGATAGTTTCTTTCTTTTTCTTTCTTTCTTTCTTTCTTTCTTTCTTTCTTACATATTACTTTTCTGTGGTCTATTTTATTTCTTTTTTTTTTTTTTCTTTTTCACTCTTTTTCTTAATACAATTCTTTCTTATACGTTAGTTACTTTTTCTTTTTCCTTTCTTTCTCAAACGCCATTTCGATGCTTTTATTCGATTATATTTGCCTTTACTTTATTAAAGTTTAGAGTCTTCATTCTTTCGGCATCATCCTCTTTCTATTGATCTTTCTTCAAACCTTGTTTTCTTTCTTTCTTTCTTTCTTTCTTTCTTTCTTTCTCAGGTGTGTGGCACATAATTTTTATGCAAATTTTAATACCCATAAAAAAACAAAAATTATTTCCGGAATATTTAATAATGCAGCATAAGCGCGCATGCGTATTTTAATGCATTGAGAAGATGCAACAGCACCGCCACTCCACTATAGATAGGGTTATAGCTTTATTTATTTATTTATTTACAAAATGAATGTTTGAGAAAAAATAAAGATTTTGCATCAGATGAAATAGCGGTTAGGAAAATTGTAAGACATGTATAGTTGTGTAATTTTAATTAAAAATGGTTTATTTTGTCGCGTGAGTAAACTAGCATTTTAATGAAATCTTCTTAAAGAGTCTACGCATTTCGAAATAAGTGCAAAATTCTCTAAAACAGTTACACGAATTGAAATACCTTTATATTCGTATCCAATGAAAAAGAAAATAATAAAAACAAAACAAAACAAAAAAAAAACACGACACAAACAGAGTAAGAATTAAGGTTTCCACACACAAACTATTTCTCTCGCTCTCAGTATTGACAAAATAATTTTCATCGATAAATGAAAGCTGGTGCTGAATGATAATTAAAGCTTTTTGCTATCTGTCGCTTTTTCTTCTTTTTTGCCATATTTCTTCGTTGGTTCCCGCCATTCGGACGCGATCGTCTGCATCCGCTGTCTGGACGTTTGTCGAATAACTGAGTTCCTGCTTAACGCCACCTTGTCTATAAAACGTTGCATTTCATCTTTAAATTTGAATATATTTTATTTTTCATTCATCTGGGCCATTATTATTCGTTTATTCTTGTATCGTTTGTTTTAACTGATTTTGCATGTGCGCGCACACACACACACAGCGACGCGCATGTACTTCCTCATATATATATATATATATATATATATATATATATATATATATATATATATATATATATATATATATATATATAATATATATATATATATATATATATATATATATATATATATTATAGTTACATATAGCTACGACTTATATATATATATATATATATATATATATATATATATATATATATACTTAGCTGATGGTGGGAAAAACTTTTAGTTTAAACAATAAATATTTATTTTTTACATAATCTCCTCCCTTGTCAATATACTTAACTCAAAGCCACATCATTAATCACAGATCGGTTCTGATACAGCAAACATTTTAGATCACATTTCAACAAAATTGATATTTACATAAATGGCTCTTTATATATATATATATATATATATATATATATATATATATATATATATATATATATATATATATATATGTTGTTAAAATTGCTGTATTTATGAAGAAAGGTTGCTCAATACCCGGGATAGAATATTTTTAGATATAAACAGAGTGGACATAAAAATTTAAACCAAGGATCGCATATTTTTCTCTAATAAGATTTCTCGAATATTCTGGCCAGTAGACGAGAATAAATAAATATACTGCTTAATAAATAAATGGAACGTCTACTCAAATACGAGTATCCAGTGAAAATGACGTTTAAATAATAAAATTTGTCGGATTAATTAAAAAAACATCTGTCACTTTCTTGAGAAATACACACACACACACACGCGTGCGCACACGCGTGCGCCCACGCAACCAACACACACACACACACACACATATGTATATATATTCAAACATGTTTCATTGAATAATATGGACATATTATGTCTATTTATTTTTATAAACCAATAACCAAACCAAAAAGTCCTTGGGAAGAAGCGATCGCGGATACACAAATAATTGCGTCATATACCGGGAAAATGGCGGGTGGGTGTGATGGCATCGCTCTTGACCAATGCAGGTATAGTGTGAGCAGCGGCAAGAAAACATGGCGGTTTCGAAGCAGCTCGTTCTGGGTTCTATGCTTTATGACTTTAAGGTGGACTTTGTTCAAAGCCGCATCAAGTCGACGAATACGTCAAACCTTTGAGGATAATGCACTGCCAGGTTGCTTACAGAAATCGAGAGATTTGTCCCATTGTGATGAACTGCACAGTGGTTGGTCGCAGGTCCTGGATGATGAGGCCCAGTAGGTGGCCATAGATGAGGACACCAGCCAAACTTGTGGTGAGCTAGCTGAACGCTTCCAGGTTTCTGATGAAACAGTCAGGCTTCCCTTGCATCACATAAGGGAGGCGTACAAGTTGAACAAAAGTGGGAACTCGTCACACTGTCACAAGCCAACAAGCAAGAACGAGTGACAGCATGTTTTTTTCTTTGCTTTCTACGTACCCATATTTGATCGATTGCTCACTACTGATGAAAAGTGGATCCTGTATGACACTGCGAAGTATGCCAGACATTGGTTGCCACCATAGGACCCATTTTCTTCCCACCACAAGACCACTTCTACACCCACAAAAAATCATGGTCTGTATCTGGTCTACTAGTCGACAAGTGGCGCACTATGAGATCCTATCAAAGGGTCAAACCATGAATTTGAACCAGTACCCACAGCAATTGGAATGTGTGCAACAGACACTGAAGTAAAAGAAGCTATCATTTGTAAATCGCAAAGGTGTACTGTTCATCCTATAACAATTCCAGGCCTCACATGGTGCGGGTGGCCAGGTATATCATACGATAACTGGGTTGAGAAACACTGTGTTAGCCACCTTACTGCCCGGACCTTGCGTCAACAGATTACTACCTCTTCCATTCCCTGGACAGTCACCTTCGGGGGAAATCCTTCGCAAATGTGGCATACTTGCGGCACTCATAGATTTCTTTGCGACCAAAACACCTGATTCTTACCACCAGCGCGCTGTGCAGCTGGAGGCAAATTGGCAAAAGTTTCTGGATGCCAATGGGGTTTACTTTGAGGGCTGACGGTATGTCGAATTTGCTGTATACCTCTTTTTTGGTATATACACAGTGTGATTTAGGCTATTGATAGTGCGGTGTAACATGACATCCAGGAAATGTAAAGTATTGTTTGGTTCCATTTCATATGTTGGACTTCGTTTAATTTATCTACAATGTTAGGTAAATTAGTTAGCATCATCAATATATCGGATGTTGATTTTTTAGGTAAAATATTTTTGGAAAGGAGCAGATTTAAGTAATTCTAATAAAATGCTATCCCAACACCCAGCTTAGAGGCGACTACATTGGTAATCCAAGCTTTTCTTTATAAAAATTATTGTTAAATGTGAAATAGCATTGATTGGTGATGAAATGACAGAGGTTTATTTTGGTTATTGTTTTAGATGCTTTTTTTTTTAAAAGATTTATGAATTTAATATCTAAACTAGTTGCAAGTTTATCAGTCATCATTATTCCTCTTAGTTTTAGGTATTCAAGTGCACTCCATTGTATTAGGTATTGGTAACAATTCAGACATAACAAATACTTTAATCCTTGTCCTCGGAACAATTAACCCAGCATATGTTAAAAATTAAGGAAATAAAAACTAAGGGTAATAATATATGAACTTTTGGAAAAAAAAAAAAAAAATAGACACACACACACTAAATGCATTAACTAATCATCATAATGAGCCTGAACATAATTTTGATTTAAAAATGTTTTTCTAATTATTAGAGAATGCAATTCACTAAGACTTATGTATATATAGAAAGTGCTTTAATCGCTAGATCATCCAAAATAAATTTACATTCAGGTTATTACAAAATTTCACTTTTCTTGGCAGAATGTGCGATATTTAATAACAAAAGTGATGGGGCCATGAACAAAAAAAAAAAAAAAAAGAAAAAATAAAATAAAATAAATAAATAAATAAAAAAAGGAGCCAGATGGAATCAGCTGGACTATGTAGCCAAAGCATATATTAAAAAAATTCGCATCAACGTAAACATCACACACACACACGCACGCACGCACGCACGCACACACACACACACACACACACACACACACATTGATGTATATGTGCAGGTATGTAGAAAAATAGGAAAGAACACGTTAGGTAAATAATCCGGAGCTCTTTAGTATTTTGTTTTTATTTTTAAAAAACAGTCCTCTATTACAGAAGTAGAGCTTAAATTATAATTATGTTTTAAAAAATATGATTCCTTTGCTCCATAAGAGTTCTCATGTTTCAAAAACAAGAGCCGAAAACCTCAATATAATTATTAAAATTAAATTGAATTAAAGTATCCAGCCCTATTTAAACCTCAAGCGAAAATTTAGGAATAACCAATCTTGAAATTCACGCATCTTTATAAGCATGTTCATTCGCAAAATTAATTACTATAGAAACGGCTGGAGCGATCATTTTTATAAGGAGCATAAGAGTTAATTTGTATCTACATATCAGTCACCTTCGGAAAGAGGTCAAACCGAGGTAGGGGTGGGGTTTTCATTTCAAAGCGAATGATGGCATTCATGTACGCTCATCGTCTGGTCAGCCATAGCGACAGATAGTTGTTGGCACCATAATACGTTGTCAAGTGTCTAAAGAATTTTATTTTATTTTATTCATTTATTTATTTATTTAATTTTTTTTTCCTAAAGGGCAGTTTCGAACATAAACGCGTCGCACTGAAGTACCATTTGATTTTTTTGACGACTTCATTAAGGGTTTTTTTATCTTATGATTGGGTTAAGCTTTTAAACCTTTTATTAGTCTATGAAATTTAATTTTTGTTAATGCTAATTATTTACATTATATATAAAAATATAGACAGACGCTAATTATTTAATGCGAAAATTTGTTATGTAGCGAAGGAATCATATTTTTAAAACATAATTATAATATATATATATATATATATATATATATATATATATATATATATATATATAATAAAAGAATAATGGACTTTTCTTTTTATTAATCCGACAAATTTTTATTTTGGTAGAGGAAATAAAATTCTGTTTAAAAAATAAACGGACCGTCTACTCAAAATATGTGTATCACACTAAATAAAACCTTAATAGTAATAAAAATATATACCTATACAGGGTGGGATGGGTAATTTGTCACCATTTTGTATATTAAATTTCGAGCACGCGCGTTGTTTCTTTTTCATTTTGTCGACTGCACAAAATAGGGTCAATTGGTCACCATCTATAAGAAAAAGAGGCACAATGACGCAATTAACTCCTCCATAAATTTGAATACGGTCTGCCGTACTGTTTGGCATTCGCACCGGAAGCTAAAATTCGAACATTTCAGAGTGTTTAGGCGTCAAAATGAGGACAGTGCAAAGGATTCGGAAAGAGTTGGTGAGTCTAATGGTGATTACGAAGGTGTTTGGAGTGATCACTAGTGATGGCGACGTTATGCCTCCGTTCACCTTCCCACAGGGCCTCTCAGAGGCAACATAGAGGCCTATAACGATTGTCTTGAGGAGATTGTGCTGCCCTGTCTTAAGAGGGTGGCTACTGAAAGAACCTATGTCTGGCAAAAGGACTCTGCACCATGCCACAGAAGTAGAAGAACCCAGTCATGGCTGTCAGAAAATTTCTGCCATATTACCACTTACATCTGGCCATCTAACTCCCCGGACTGCACCCCCCTCATTGATTATTATGTGTTGGCGCAGTTAAGAAAGATAAAAAAAAACACCTTGTAATACTAAAGATGAACTGAAGGCAAGGATTATGGAATCATTCATCAATTGAAACAAGAAGCCCACCCAGAAGAGTTGCAGGAGATTCCGAAGTTATCTGGTGGCCGTGATTGAAGCCAATGGCGATT